AAACTTTAGGGTAATGTTCCCTACTCATGTATGACCAAAATATTTTAAATCCAGCTCCTTAAAACTATTCTGCACTCATGTACGGACATGTGAAAATTTTGATGGGAAAACTGCTAACTCAGGAATGGGAAAAGCTGAAGGCTGTAATTTTAAGGGAATGTTTCCTGCTCATGTGCGACTAAAAGATTTTAAACTTAACTTTTCTAGTGTGGCCTTTTTTTGCGGACCAGCAACTTTCCATCTGTCGGGCCATTGAAGTCGACACCTACAACTGACATACCACGTAGTAGCACAATTAATTTCCTGAACTTCGAGGGCCAGTATTTCACAGGGTTAGCTACTTTGATTCCTTGCATCTTGCTACGGCACGAGAAGTGCAAAAACGCATAATCGCACCGGCCCGCCTGGTGCGTTCCAGCCTGGGTCTACGGCACGAAAAGTGCAAAAACGCATAATCGCACCGGCCCGCCTGGTGCGTTCCAGCCTGGGTTGTTGGTTGTAGCAGCGCTGCTATAACGCTGCACAGCAAAAACCCATAAAAACGGAGCATGGCGAAATGCCAGATCTAAAGCACGCACACATATGTGCGAGTAGTGACTATGAAATTGGAAGATCTAATTTTGGGAATATGATCACTGGCAGTACATAATCCCTGGAACAAACTTCACCTCGTTTTCTATTTTGCCCTAGAACATGATTTTAAACTTACAAGTTAACATCATGAATCGGGAAAAGCTACGAGCACATTTTCTCACTGACAGTTCGGAAAACCTTAAAAAACAAGCATCGATTTTCAAAATTTTCTGTATTCTGACTTGAAACTTACGTCAAGATTAGACCCATAGAATTATTTTCAAACCATGCACAGTTCATTTCTTAGACGGCTAGTTGCTGTTGGTAAGAGCTATCACTCGAGAAATCTTCGAGTGCCTCCGTTTATAAAGAATGAAATGTAAAGAAGGTTTTTGATTTTTATTTTCCGGTGTCCTAATTTGTAATCGTAAGACTAGATCCAAACTAAGGTTGTAACATTAGAAGAGGAATCTACACACTTGGAATTTTGCTACGCAAATTCGCCACTCGATGCAGAGTTAATGAGTGCTCTGAGATCAGTTACTGGGTATCGACAGGTGTTTCGATCTGCGCCCACAAGCATCATTCTTGGCTAGTGTTTCATATTCAGAACGAAGCGAGTCGTAAATTCAAACTTTGGTGACACAAAATCATCAAAAAGGAAAAAATTATTAAGGTGTGCCAAAGTTGCTTTTGAATGCAGCAGTGCAGTTAATTCAGACCGTCCCTCTTCTACACATCGCTTCTCATTTCTAAATGAGAAGTATTGTGTTTATTTGTAAAAGTGTCATAATAAAAATGCTTTGCCATCAAAAATTTTTCAGAAGTGTGCTTCGCAACAGCGAATTTTTGGCTGCATTAGACTGTGTATCTATCTAGCTTCCACATCAAGTAAGGCAATGAAATGCAGTACACTTATGAAGAGCATTGGGAATTCTTTCTATTGCCACTTTTGTCTGAGGACTCATAATTAATCCACAGTTCGAAACGGCAGGCGCATAAACGAAACAAGTCGAAATGATCATAAAAATGTGACATCGCTGCTGGCAACAATCCGCTCCAAAAATGACTCAACATGATTCTGTTGGTTAACGGTATCTTTGAGAAGATGATAGCCACAGGGGTATGATGATACTACCGGAGCCGATCGATCCAGCAATCGTATTGTTGCAGATGTCGGGCTACCGCCATTGTTACTGTTGCGAGAGTTACTGGTGTTACTGCTACTGTCATTGCTTGCATTGCACGTAGCAGGAAATTCGTTGGTTGCAGTTGATAAGAGGTGACTCGGTTGTTGGACGATCTGGTTCGAGGCCGCAGAAGTCCCCTCTGCTGAAGTTAACATTTTCTTTTCTTAACGTACCAAAATCGTGAAAATTTAATTGCTGCCATTGTCTCGACGATAACGGGGATTTTGTTTGGAATACTGACGTGGAGAGGCTGTAGATGCCGCTATATTCGTTGGCTCTGCCTTAACAACCCGTGCAACAGACGTTTTCTTTTTAGCGTCTGTACATGAGGCTCAAACATACGTAAACGATAATATTAACCCAGGCTTGAACGCATCAGACTCTCCGGTGCGATCATCCGTTTTTGCAGTAAACTCGCACATCGCTATTAGCAAGAATGATCCCTACGCTGTAGCCTAAACCTTTGGGCTAATATTGGCCGTGCTTTGATCTTTACCGGCATGCAGGAGGAAGAGCATCAGTTGGGATGAAGGTGGTGCATTATAAACCCGCACGGACATCCAGGTGCATGATTGCCGGTTTTTTGCATGAAGTCCAGTCGCTTTTTCAGTAAATGCTTGCTTTGTGAAAAAATGACAGATGCAAATTTTTTGAAAAAATGCAAATTTCCAGTTCAATAACCCAGACTGGAACGCACCAGGCGAGCCGGCGCGATCATGCGTTTTTGCATAAAACTTTGAGGTACTCCATCA